TCTCTCTCTCTCTCTCTCTCTCTCTCTCTCTCTCTCTCTACTATGCGGAAATATCCTATTTAGACAACTTCAACTTGCTATGACGTCACAATCCCCTATTTGGTAGCCTCTGGTAAGTCTCGCTCAACAAGTACCCTGAAAAGAGAGGTTTCGCCAGCGGACACGAGGCGCTGGGGAGGACAGGAAAGCGGGGGGGAAGGGGGACACTTTGTCATCATCTCTGGGATCCAGAAGCATTCTCAAATTTCCACTGGGCAACCGCAAGAGGACGCGACCATTTAGAGGAAAACCCTGTTGAGCTTTACAGCACAGCCGCGCGTCCACCAGTTCGGGCCAAATCATCAATATTCATTAACGCTAAGTGATCTTTTTTCTAGACAGAGACAGCCGTTCGTTATTTTGTGGACAGCAGCCCCAGGACATCAATCTCTAAATACTTGAGCAGTCTTTGTACCAGCAGATCCGATGTCAGTACGATTTAGTAAGTTCGTGGGTACAGATATATTCCTTGGTATGCGTGGGCGAAGAAGGGAGTGTATGTACTTTGGGTGTGACCTCGAAGGAGGACGGAAGAAACAGAGGGGGAGCGGAGAACGAAATTATAAATAAGAAGGGGGAAAGAGAGGGGAGGAAAAGGACAAGCAAAGGAGATGATGAACAAAAGAAAGAGGCATAAAAGAAAAAGGTATTGACACTACTCGGCAGTAAAACAGATCACACCAACGTTACTTTTTCACTTTATCAGTTTTAATAATTAACCTAAGGGGAACAAAGGAAAAAAAGAATAAATCTTTAGATAAGCCTGACTGGTCTCCAAAAGACTGCAAATATTTCTAAAATACACCACAAACATGGGATACTTTGAAAAGGAAAAACTAATAGAAACACTTTAAAAATAATGGGTTTTTCGTCTGAAAAGCCCTATCAATTATCTTCAGAAAAAGCAAAATCGATACAGCTGAGCTCAACAGTAGACCAAAAATAGATTAGCAGCACAGTTCTAAAACCTTAGTGCTATCAAGAAGTGCCAATACCCCAGTGAAACATCGCTGATGTACAAACAAACTTTCAATTACTCACCTATCCCTTTTACAAGAAACATTCTGAGAGAAACCGTCTCCATACTCAACGACAAGGGAGTGTGTTCCTTTGGTTTTGTTCTGCAAAACAACGTGTAGATAGGTTTGTGAATGTCCAGCCAAGGACACAGGGCAGAGAGAGAGAGAGAGAGAGAGAGAGAGAGAGAGAGAGAGAGAGAGAGAGAGAGAGAGAGAGAAAGAGAGCAAACACACAAATGAACCACAAAGACAAGACCTAGACCACACAAAACAAATTTTCAATGCAGGGTGGTATCCGGCTGACAATTTTTAAAAGGATCAGTGGCAAATACATTCCAGGCACTCAACGACGATAATTTTGCACACAGACCAAAAACACCATATAGATGTAAATACGAGAAGATTACTGCTGTTTCATAAACTGAACAGCAAGAAACATATTAATATATTATATTCAAACTTCACCCCTTTCCTATCTTTCCTTTCTTTGTTCCGAACTACGCCCACTCCCTTATCCAAACAGATTTCTTTAACATTAATTATTTTGAACCACAAGAAACAAAGTCACGGACCTCTTAGCTATGATTAGCATAGCACTCTCAACAGGTGCACAAAACGTCTACATACTTCAATCCTAACTTGAACCATCTACTGGGAAGAAGATATATTGAAACATATTAGCCTTCTTTTTCAACCAATACTTTTTACTTATCTCTGGAAAGCAGATAAAGCAGAACAGCAAGGCAGATCTGGCCTAGTTGTATCACTCACCGCGAGGAGAAAGGAAGTAGATTCATTCCGCTTGACAAAGGTAGGGTGCCACAAGACGGGCCTCTTCCTGTGCTTGCGTTGCTTCTTCTTCCTCTTCCGCCCGTCAGTTTTCACTTTGGGAACAGTCAGAGCAGACGGTCCCAGCCGGCGACTCCTCCGGCCAACTGCAAGAGAAGGAACAAAAATAACCTCTGGTGAAATCTATTGCTGTAAACTCTCTCAATGAAAGACGAATTAGGCATGTCAGACGTTGTTGTCGCTAGGCAATGAAATCCTGGACCTTTTCTTTTCTGTAACACAAATATATTTATTATCAAAGAACAGTTGTCTGAATCTGCGTATTGAAGACAAAGATAACAAGTTTAAGTTCATGGTTTATTCGTTTAACAAATTTGCGAGAGGCGTGCATTTAGATCTACTTCTCCAAAAGAGATTAGGCTCATTGTGTAACACACGTCAAGAAACCAATCCAGACTTTATCTTCCACCTCCTAGAAAACTTAATGTTTGAGTATGGCAGGAATGTCTGGCTAATGTTGTGGCATGGCGACTTATGGGCGGCAGAGGGACGGTGGGGG